TACTCAGAACACCTTCATAAACCTCTGAATAATTGAAAAGTAGTATGTGTGTTAGAACTGTCAGCATTTAATCTAAAAAATTTTCAGACATGGTTTACCAGAATTCCTAAAGAATAGAAAAATCATATATCTGTCAAATAAGTAATCAATGCTGCCCTAAACAAAAATGCCACAATTCCATACCATTCACAGTAGCAGGCCCGAGACACACTATACAATGGCCAATCACCCGAAATGCCCATCTAAAAGGACACCTCTACATTCCCAGCATGAGAGCTACTTTAAGTTTTTGTTTTTGGTTATGAAGGATCAACACACAAAAAGCTTGTTTTAACTATCTAGAGAAATTAAAAGGGAGAAGAGCATTGCCATGTGCTCCAATGCTAATTAAATACATGGACCACGAGTGGGAGGCAAGCAGAGGCCTTAGGACCAAAATGTATCTTCAGGAGCCCACTTGGTAATGTACACTAGGAGGCATAGGCCTCATCCTTCACCTACACCTTACTGTAGGCAACACAACACGTCAGACTAAGTGTCTGTATCCATTCAAGAATGAATGAATGTTTTGTTTATGTCTAAATAAAACGTGGCATCTGTAAGAGCAGAAGGGCATGCTTGACTTGAAGAACCTGTTCAGAGTGAAAGCTGCCCTGAGGCATGGTGACTAGGAAGCTAAGGCAGGATTTCCAAAGGATGGTAGGAGAATATCACAGATTTTTCCTCCCTGAAAGAATAGCCACACGCCACTGAAAATGTCTCAACAGACTAAAATTTTATCAGGACTAATACATGCATGGCTGGCAGTTGGCTCTGGGACCCAGAGCACATGAGGACCACTACTTAGCTGAGTCAGCCACTCCCAGCCCTCATTCGGATACTACCACTGACAGCTTCAGAGCAGGATTTAAAAAGCACACCTTTCACTAGGCAATACCAACATTCCTGCATTTGGGTTTTAAGGACAGCTGTGATTACACCTGGGGCTCATCAGTCAGCACTCAGGCATGCATACTGATGCCAGACAACTTCATCTGCCCCTTTATATTTTCGCTCCTGCTAAGCAAGCTCACACAAAGTAAGAGACTGGACCGTATTCTTCTCTGAAGGACTAGCAGCATCAACAGCTGTCCATATAAATAGTTACTCAATAAATAGGAATTCAAAATAAAGCATATGAAAGTCAAGGAAGAGGCGAACAGAGGCCAAATGTCTATCTCCTAGAACACCCACACAGCCCAAGAGTCGGCACACCCTGGACCACTGTCCAGATGTCTGTTTTGGTAATAAAATGTAGTGGAATAAGATAACATCTGGGGCTGCTTTCACACTAAACAGGAGGTGAGTGGCTGGGACACAGACCTACACAATCATTACAGACAAAATGTGCTGATTTCTGCTCTAGAGCACACATGGTCTGGCATATACTTATTTTAAATTTTGAGTTCTTAATTGATATTAAATATACCTACCCTGTAGAGATAAACAATCCAATCAAAAAATGGGCAAAGGACCTAAATAGACACCTTTCAAAAGAGGACATTCAGAAAGCCAAGAGACATATGAAAACATGCTCAAAGTCACTAATCATCCGAGAGATGCAAATCAAAACAACAATGAGGTACCATCTCACACCTGTCAGACTGGCTATCATCAACAAATCAACAAACGACAAGTGCTGGAGAGGATGTGGAGAAAAAGGAACACTTGTGCACTGCTGGTGGGAATGCAGACTGGTGCAGCCACTATGGAAGACAGTATGGAGTT